CCCCCGGGCAGCTGCTGCAGGACGGGCGCTGCGTCCCCCTGAGCCGCTGCCGCTGCGGGACCCCCGGCGGGGACAGCGGGAGCCGCGAGGTGTCCCCGGGGAGCGTGACCCGCGTCGGGTGTCACAACTGGTGCGTGGCACCGCGGGGGGGACACGGCTGGGGACGCGGGTGGGCACCGTCACTCGGGGACAGACACCGGGGGGTGGCAGGGGGCCGGGGGGATGGACAGGCACGGTGGTGGCAGCGGGACGGGCACGGTGACAGTGGGACTGGGAAGGTTGGGCACGGTGACAGTGGGACAGGCACGGGGACAGTGGGACCGGCACGGTGACAGTGGGACCGGCACTGTGACAGTGGGACGGGCACGGGGACAGTGGGACCAGCACGGGGGACAGGGTGGGATGAGCTCGGGGACAGTGGGACGGGCACGGGGACAGTGGGACTGAGACGGAGGACAGGGTCGAACGGGCATGGTGACAGTGGGATGGGCACGGGGACAGTGGGACTGGGACGGTGGCAGTGGGACAGGCACGGGGGACAGTGGGACTGAGACGGAGGACAGGGTTGAACGGGCACGGTGACAGTGGGACGGGCTCGGGGGACAGGGTGGGACGGGCCCGGGGACAGTGGGACAGGCACTGTGACAGTGGAACAGGCACGGGGGACAGGGCGGGACGAACGCGGGGACAGTGGGACGGGCACGGTGACAGTGGGACAGGGACGAGCACGGTGGCGGTGGGACAGGCACGGTGGCGGTGCCACACGGCAGGGCCCCACGTGCGGTGACGGTGACACGCGTGTCACCCCCCGACAGGGTGGGACGGGCACGGTGACAGTGGGACGGGCACTGTGACAGTGGGACTGGGACGAGCACGGGGGACAGGGCGGGACAGGCACGGTGGCGGTGCCACACGGCAGGGCCCCACGTGCGGTGACGGTGACACGCGTGTCACCCCCCGGTGCAGCACCTGCGAGAACGGGACCCTGACCTGCCCAGAGCTGGCGTGTCCCTCCCCGGGAACCGCGACGCCCGCCGTCCCCACGGCCCCCTGGTCCCCCCTGTCCCCCCTGCCCCCCCTCTCTCCCGAGCCCGCCCTGTCCCCCGCCGTGTCCCCCTGGTCCCCCTGGTCGCGCTGCTCCCGCAGCTGCGGCGGCGGCACCCGGAGGCGGCAGCGGCAGTGCCGGGAGGGCCCCGCGGCGGGGCCGCGCTGCGGGGACAGCCCCGGGGAGGAGACGGCGGCGTGTAACCCCCAGGCGTGCCCCGGTGAGAGCGGGGACACCGGGGAGGACACAGGGGGAGCGGGGGAAAGGAGGCATGGAGGGAACGGGGGAGGAGGGAACGGGGAACGGAGCGGTGGGAGAACGGGAGAGAGGGACGGAGGGATGGAGGGATGGGAGAGGGAAGTGGGGTGGAGGGAGGGAGGGAGGCTGGTGGGCGGAGGGCCGGGAGCAGAGCGGTGCCGGTGCCATTCCCGGTGCCCTTCCCGTTCCCGGTGCGTCCCCAGTGCCGTTCCCGGTGGCCCCAAGCTGCCCCCCGGGCGAGGTGTGGCTGGAGCCCGGCCCCGCCTGCGAGCGCAGCTGCCAGGACCTGGCCGAGCCCCCCGGGACCTGCGGGGGGACCCCCGGAACCTCCGGGACCCCCGTGACTCCGGGCAGCTCCAGCACCCCCGGGATGCCCGCGGCCCCCACGACCCCCGGCGCTGTCGGGACCCCCTCGCCCCCCCCGCGCTGCGCCTGCGCCCCCGGCCGGTACCGGAACGGCTCCGGGCACTGCGTGAGCGCGGGGGGCTGCGGCTGCCGGCACCGCGGGGCGCTGCGAGCGGTGAGCAGGGCGGGGGGCCGGGGGGGGGGTCCCTGACCCCCTGGGGGTCCCTGACCATTGTTCGGGGTCCCCGCAGGCCGGCAGCGAGTGGCAGGAGCCGTGCGGGACCTGTCGCTGCTCCGAGGGACGCGTCACCTGCGCCACCTCCTGCCCCGCGCTCACCTGCCCGGAGGTGCGGGGCTCCGGGGGGCTCCGGGGGGCGCGGGGGGTCCCCGCGGGCAGGGGCTGAGCCTGGGGGTCCCCGCAGGGCTCGGAGCCGGTGCGGGAGCCCGGGAGCTGCTGCCCCGTGTGCCGGGACGAGTGGCCAGGTGAGACCCCCGCACCCGGGGCCCCGGGGAGGGGCGGCCCCGGCAGCCCCCCGGTGACGCCGTGTCCGTCCCCCCCCGGTGCAGAGGAGCCCCCCGGGCCGTGCCGGCTCCTCACGGCGCTCCGGACCATCGCCAAGGGCGCGTGTGTCCTGCGGGGCGTCCGTGTCACCTACTGCGCGGGGGCGTGCCGCTCCCGCACCGCCGTCAGCGCCCAGGTACGGGGGGCGCGGGGGGACCCCAGCCCCGCCTGCTGCCCCCGGAGCCGCCTCTGCACGGCCCGGGGCTCTCCGGGGCTCTCCGCTGTGTCTGGGATGTCCGGGGCTGTCCGGGCTGTAGGGGTGTCCGGGACTGGCGGGGCTGTCCGGTGTCCGGGGCTGTCCGTGCTCTCCGGGGCTTTCCGTGGCTGTCCGGTGTGTCCGTGGCTGTCCGGTGTGTCCGGGGCTCTCCGGTGTGTCCGGGGCTGTCCGGTGTCGGGGCTGTCCGGTGTGCCCGGGGCTGTCCGTGCTCTCCGGGGCTTTCCGGGGCTGTCCGGTGTGTCTGGGAATCTCCAGGCTGTCCGGTGTGCCCGGGGCTCTCCGGGGCTCTCCGGGGCTGTCCGGTGTCTGGGCTGTCCGGTGTGTCCGGGCTGTCCGGTGTGCCCGGGGCTCCCCGGTCTCCCCGGGCTGTCCCCGCCGCCGTGACCCGCTGTCCGCAGGAGCCGTTCGTGCGGTCGCTGTGCGAGTGCTGCAGTTACCGGCTGGATCCCGCCCGGCCCGTGCGGGCGCTGCTCCTGCCGTGCCCCCGCGGCCGCCCCCGGCCCGCGCTGCTGCCCCGCATCGCCGAGTGCCGCTGCGAGCCCTGCCGGGGTGCGGGCCCGGGGGTAACGGGGGGAGCGGGGGGCCGGGGGCTCCCTTGGGGGCTCCGGCGCCGATGGCGGCCGCGCTCCCGCCCCGTCACGGAAACGGCGCCGGCGCCGAGTGATGACGCAGCAGAGCGGCCAACAGCGAGCGGGCGCGGAGCGGTGACGTCGTAACTGCGCGCCTCGGTGGCGGCCCGTGCGCGGCGCCGGGCGGGAGAGGTCAGAGAGGGCCGGGACCGGGACCGGGGACGGGATCGGGAACGGGATCGGGACCGGGAACGGGACCGGGAACGGGAACGGGATCGGGATCGGGGGACGGGAACGGGATCGGGATCGGGGATTGGATCGGGATCGAGGAACGGGGACGGGAACGGGGATGGGAATGGGAACGGAAAGGGGGGCGGGATCGGGGATTGGATCAGGACCGGGACCGGGAATGGGACCGGGACCGGGTCGGGACGGGTAGCGGGAGCGGGGAACGGGGACGGGATCGGGAATGGGAATCGGAACGGAAAAGGGGGCGGGATCGGGGATTGGATCGATATCGGGGATGGGAACGGGACCGGGATCGGGAGCGGGAGCGGGATCGGGGATGGGATTGGGACCGGGATCGGGGATTGGATCGGGACCGGGGATGGGAACGGAAATGGGACCGGAACCGGGATCGGGGATTGGGTCGATATCGGGGATGGGAACGGGACCGGGACCGTGATCAGGAGCGGGAGCGGGGATGGGATTGCCACCGGGATCGGGGATTGGATCGGGACCGGGGATGGGAACGGAAATGGGACCGGAACCGGGATCGGGGATTGGGTCGATATCGGGGATGGGAACGGGACCGGGACCGTGATCAGGAGCGGGAGCGGGGATGGGATTGCCACCGGGATCGGGGATTGGATCGGGACCGGGGATGGGAACGGAAATGGGACCGGAACCGGGATCGGGGATTGGGTCGATATCGGGGATGGGAACGGGACCGGGACCGTGATCAGGAGCGGGAGCGGGGATGGGATTGCCACCGGGATCGGGGATTGGATCGGGACCGGGATCGGGGATGGGAACGGGATCGGGGATTGGGTCGATATCGGGGATGGGAACGGGAATGGGACCGGGACCGGGTCGGGACGGGTAGCGGGAGCGGGGAACGGGGACGGGATCGGGAATGGGAATCGGAACGGAAAAGGGGGCGGGATCGGGGATTGGATCGATATCGGGGATGGGACCGGGATCGGGATCGGGGATGGGACCGGGATCGGGATCGGGATCGGGGATGGGAAAGGGAATGGGACCGGGATCGAGACCGGGATCGGGGATTGGATCGATATCGGGGATGGGAACGGGACCGGGATCGGGAGCGGGAGCGGGATCGGGGATGGGATTGGGACCGGGATCGGGGATTGGATCGGGACCGGGGATGGGAACGGGAATGGGACCGGGATCGGGAGCGGGGATGGGATCGGGATCGGGGATTGGATCGGGACGGGATCGGGGATTGGATCGGGACCGGGATCGGGACCGGGGATTGGATCGGGATCGGGATCGGGGATTGGGTCGATATCGGGGATGGGAACGGGACCGGGACCGTGATCAGGAGCGGGAGCGGGGATGGGATTGCCACCGGGATCGGGGATTGGATCGATATCGGGGATGGGAACGGGACCGGGATCGGGATCGGGAGCGGGATCTGGATGGGGATCGGGGATTGGATCGGGACCGGGATCGGGGATTGGATCGATATCGGGGATGGGAATGGGACCGGGACCGGGATCGGGGATGGGATTGGGACCGGGGCCGGGATCGGGAGCGGGGATGGGATTGGGACCGATGCCGGGGCCCGGGTTGGCATCGGGACCGCGGGCCCGGGGGAGCACCGGGAGCGGTGCGGGGCTGGCGAGGAGGCGCGGCGCTGAGCGGCACCGGCAGGGGCCGCGCCCGGTGCCCCGCTCC